TCTTTCTTTCTTTTTTGCGGTGCTAGGGATTGAGCCCATGTTCTTTTGACTGCTAGGCAAGTATTCTATCACTGAGCTACGTTTCTAGAGCATTACAGCTTCCTATTTTCTCTGTCATCCTCAGGCATATTGAATTTCCTCTTGCTTCCACAGTGTGCCAAGTTTTCTCTTACCTCTGGGCTTTTATATAAGTTCATTTTTATTCTTTATCTGTTTGTCTTAGTTTGGACTGTTGTAGACAACACATACTTATTTCTCCAGGTTCTGGAGATAGGAAGTCTAAAGTGAAGGCACCTGCAGTTTTGCTGTCCCAAATTTTCACAGATAGAAGGATGATGGGCTCCTTGGCCCGTTTATGCAGACAGTGAGCCAATCCATGAGGACTGTGCTCTCATGATCCGCTCATCTTCCCCAAGGCTGCACCTCTTAGTACCATTGCTTTCGGGGTTAAGAGATGAGTGTGGGAGTTGGCACTGCACATACGTACCTGCATGCACGTGCACCTGCGAGCCTGCGTGTGTCGGGAGCACGAGCATCCAGGCCACAGCAGACCTCTAGCTTCCACTAGTCTTTCCTGGAGAACATCTCATACCTTCAGGTCTTACGGCAGATAGGACTTTTTTCAGTAAGTAGTCTTCCGCTCAAATGTGAGGTAGATACTTTTTCCATCTGCTGGTGTGAAATTGTATTTTCTATCTTTTTGATAATGATTATTATTTCGAGATTCATTCATTTGCTGGATGCCAGGTGCTATTTTGAATGCTGGAGATACATAAAATAGTGCAAAAACCCAAATCTTTGTCCTGGTGCCTCTTACATTCAAGGGTGGAAACAGGCAAAAGCCAGAACACACTAAAAATGTTCTGGGGTTGACAGTTGTAACAAGAGACATAAAACAGGAAAGGAGGCATACAGGAAAGTGTTTAGGGTAGCTGCAGTGATGTGGTCATCGGTGAAGATTTCTCTGAGAAGCGGTTAGCTCAGAACTGAAGGAGGTGAGGAGGTGAGTCAGATGGGTTTGCATCCATTGCTGTCCAGGCATGCAGAGTGAGTGGAGCGTCTGTGGTGGGGTTGGGTCTGCATGTGCAAGTGGGGGTGACTGGCTTAGCCAGGAGATGAGGCCCATCGTGCGGGGCTGTGCAGACTGTCACACAGGTGTTAGCGCGAGTGAGCTAGCAAGCCCACAACAGCTGGAGTAGGGAAGCGACAAGGTGTGTGCTTGTATCTTGTTGGGTGCACTCTAGGGGCTGTGTTGGAAGCAGATTGCTAGTGAGCTCCGGGTGGAAGCCGAGTGATGGTTAGGAGGCCAGTGCAGCGGTTTCTGTGCAGGTGCTGGTAGTTTGGATTAGAGTGGTAAGGAGAGAGGGGCTGAGATTTGGATAGATTTTGAGTGTAGATCTAGTAGGATTTTTTGGTTAGTAGAATATAAAATGTAATTTTAAAAAATCTTGGTGACTTTTTCAAGAAGCCTACAAGCTTCTGAGAGGGGGGCTCACCTCATTTTCCATTGCAGCTGGAGCAGAGCAGTCACTTTGAGTACTTGTTGGATCAGTGATTGTATGATGAGTGTGGAAGCTTAGAGCAGACGAAGGAGTAGGATGAACTACACCGTAACGCTGTGGTAACAAAAAGATAACTAACAAAATCTTGTAAAGGTATTATTTGTAGTCCAAGCTCTCAACATTGGGATTTGTCTGGCATAACTCTCAGTTTAAAAAAAATGAATTTGTGTTCCTTTTATTACCTAAATGTTCTCTTTTAAGGGTTATTAACAAAAGGAATAATGATAGTAATGATAACTAACATTTATTGAATGTTTTCATTGTATAGGAACCATGACAAGCACTTTACTTGTATTACCGTGTTTAATTGTCATGTGATCTGTAGGTGGTACATGACAGATGAGGAAATTAAGGTCGCACAGCTGCCAGGAGTGGTGGGAATCTGAGTCAAGCTCAAGGCTAATTGCTACTCTGTGTTGCCTTTATCTTCTTCTCCTTCCTTGTCATTATCCTAAGTGATGTTCATGACTCAAGGAGTAGCCTGGCCCAATGGTGGTGACTCTGTGGCAGCGGGCAAGCGAGCCGGGTTACCCCAGCAGCCAAGCACTGGATAACGGTTGTTTTTTCTAATCTCAAACAGTATTCAGATTTAGAAGCTCTTTTTTTTTTTTTTTTCGGAACCGGAGTATTCAGATTTAACTGCACTGTTGGCACTTTGTGATACGCAAGTGGGTTTTGGGTTGCATTGCAGTTCGGGGCCACAATCTGCTGTCACCATCGTTGGTGTAGCCTCTCAGTTCCTGAAGTTTCCTTTGCTAATGGTCATGATTGCCTCTTTTTAGCCACAGTAGTCAATTCCATGGTGGTGGGCAGAACAGTCTCAACAGAAACTCTGAAGCTCTATTTCCCCATCCTTTATCACAATTGTCTGTCCTTTCCAAGTCATAGTCTGTCTACTTAATTTCTTTGGCTTTGCTGAATAATACAGCCTTTTAATTGCTGTCTTCTAGTTTGTAGATTAGTTTTTAAAACTTCATTTTATTTTAACCTGTGAGCATGCATCCCCTAACAATATTTATTGAGTACTTATAATGTGGCCTACACAAACTAAGTGTATGTGTACACAAATCTCTAGAGGAATAGGTGCTAACATTGGCTCCATTTTAGAGATGTGGAAACTGCCGCTAAATAATACAATTTCTGGAAGGTCATATGTAATGAGCTTTCACTGAAGCCTAAACTGACATCTGATTATGACACCAAAACGGACAATATTTTGACTAGTATAGCGTTTGTCTTTGCCATTGAATTTTACTTTCTCATTTTCCTATTTTCTTATCTTTTTGTTATTCTTAAGTGATAAAACCTCAAGCCGTTGCTCAGTGTAACAGATCATATTTTAAAATATAGATATGGTTCAGTGTAGAGAATTTGAGAGGACATTTTCATATGGTTTTGCTTAAAGTAAAAGGAAGGATCATCTACTGGGAATTAAGAATATGGACAAGAATGGGTCCATGAGCTAATGGAATATATAAAGATTAAAAGTTGATTTCATGAAAAGAATTTCCTTGTTGAGAATGTTATATCGCAGAAA